GATGCTACAGTGTTATCACTGCACACCCTTGCACAGTGGGGAATAGTATGTATATAAATTAATGCATAGTGTTATCACTGCATACCCTGCACAGTGAGGAATAGTATGTGTATAAAAGGGTGCTACAGTGTTATCACTGCACACCTTGAACAGTAAGGAATAGTGTCTATAAATGGATGCTACAGTGTTATCACTGCACATCCTTGCACAGTGAGGAATAGTGTGTATATAAATAGATGCTAAAGTGTTACCACTACACATCCTTGCACAGTGAGGAATAGTGTATATAAATGGATGCTACAGTGTTATCACTGCATACCCTGCACAGTGAGGAATAGTGTACATAAGTGGATGCTACAGCTACAGTGTTATCACCGCACACCCTGCACAGTGAGGAATAGTGTGCATATAAATAGATGCTACAGTGTTATCACGGCACACCTAATTTTCTGCCCTATTAAAAAGCCAAGGCAGTCTCTATTAACCAATGAAAGTAACACATAGACAGATGACCCTCCTACATCAGTTCCCTTTCCTCACAGCCTCGGGTTCAACATTGTGCTTTATGGCTTGGGGTCCAAGAGAGACTTACTAGAAAAGTTTCGAACCTCCATGCTTCAGGATTCCGTGCACCTTGTCATCAACGGCTTCTTTCCTGGGATCAGTGTGAAATCGGTAAGTTTCAAGCTTTTCATGGAGTGACATTGTGTCCTGTGCCAAGTCATGGCCCGTAGTGGTGAGGATGCAATTTCTGCTTCTGGACACTGCGTATAAAGGATTTTGTGTGGGGCTTCTTAGCAGTTAGGCTGTATAATGCCAAGATCACATGTCTGAATTCAGAGCAGTCTTAGCTTTACATTTTTATCTCTGAATTTATTACTGTGAAACTGACACGGGGCTGGGGAAATAGCTCATTCTGTAAAGAAGATCTGAGTTCTGTCCCCTGAAACCACCACCCCAAACACACACACACATTTTTTTTTAAAAGAGATAGGTGTGGTGCCCTGAGCTTATAATCCTAGTTCTAGGGAGGCTGGGGGTGGGGTGCTGATCCCCAAGGCTAACTGGCCAACCAGCCTAAACTAGATGAGTTCATGCCAGTGAGAAACCCTGTCTTGAAATAAATGAATCGGGCTGGAGAGTTGGTTTAGCAGGTAAGAATGCTGGCTGCTCTTGCCCAGGACCCTGGTTCTATTCTTCAGTTTACATGGCTGGCAGGCCTCAGCTGTCTGTAACTCCAGTCCCTAACTCCAGGGGATCTAGCACCCCCTCTGGCCTCTTAGGGTACTGCATGCACATGGTGCCATTACATTCATGTGGGCAAAGCAAGTGTTAGGTCACATAAAATAATGTGGAAAATCCTTTTAAAGATAATTAATAAATAAAAATAAGTGTAGACAGCACCTGAAGAACAACACCCACGTTTGTCCCATGGCTTTCACCTGTATCCATGCAGAAATGTTTACCCATACAAGCACATAGATACATGATCACCACCCTAGGTAAAGTTGCTATTGCTGTAATGAAACACCCTGACCAAAAGCAAATTGAGGAGGAAAGTGTTTATTTGGCTATTTCTGCGTCATAGTCCATCATTAAAGGAAGTCAGGGCAGGAACTCAAACTGGAGCTGATGCAGAGGCCATGGAGGGAGCTGCTACCTGGCCTACTCCTCATGGCTTACTCTCCATGGCTTGCTCACCCTGCTTTCTTATAGAACCCAGGACCAGCAGCCTAGGGATGGCTCCACCCACAATGGACTAATCACTAATCACTAATTAACACCATGCCCTCCAGGCTCCATCCAGATGGATCTTAAGGAGGTGTTCTCTTGAGGCTCACTCCTCTCAGCTGACTTTAGCAGGTGTCGGGTTGGCACAAAACTAGCCAGTTTCTCGCAGAGAAGCTGACTTGTCTTCATTCCTACACCAGGTTACTGGTGGAGCAGCCGAGAGTAAGAATCTGTATATTTTGTAGAGTCTGTAGTTTATTGTAGTTTTGTGTCATTTTGTTACAGAAATATGAAGTATAGATGACAGTAGATAGTTTTACAGTACATTTATTATGGACCATTTTTATTTCAGAGGAGAATTATATCAAGGTTTTGGATATTGGGTATTAGCCAATGTAGTGTCCTATTTTTAGCATCCTTGTGTGGGTATCATTTCTTTTGGCATTTATAACCCCCCCCCTTTGGTTATTTTGAGACTGGGTCTCTCTGTATAGCAGACTGTCCTGGAGCTCCCTGTGTAGACCAGGCTAGCTCTGAGTTTACCTAGCCCTGCCTCTGTGACTGCGCTGGGACAGCAGGTGTGCGCCACCATCCCTGGCTCACGTTCACACTTGAACCAGGCTGTTTTACTGGCTATTTTTTCCTGCCCTCTTATACCATTTTTTCACATCATTATTCTTCCCTTTTCCTGTTAGCATTAATGTATTTAAAGAAAACAAAGAAGAAAATAAAATAGATATACTTAAATGCCCAGTGGAATTTTAAGTACTTTTTAAACTTTATGAGAAACTCAAAATCATTTTTAATTTGTGAAAAATTAATTTGCTAATTGTATTTATCATGCGACAGAATAAACTGCAGTTGATATGGTCCCTCTTGCACTTCTGTGATGTAGATCCTGAATTCTATAACTGAAGATGTCCTCGATCATATGGGTACTTTCCAGAGTGTTCCGGATCAGCGAGACTGGATAATAAACAAATTTAAAGAAGGTAACATGAAGGAAGTCATCTATAGGGTGAAGTCACATTGCATTTCTGTATTTATGGAATTTTGAACAGAAAAATGAATATTATTTTAGTACAGATACTCTAGTCAATGTCAGTTTAGATTTCTTTAAAATAATTCGTCTTTCCTGTTGTAGTGATTTGTTCTGTGAATCGACTGTAGTACCTCTGTATAGCTTCATTTCAGAATACTTTTACTCTTTGTTTTGTCAGTGTGAAGTGCCTGTAGCAGCTTTGTACATCTTTGTCTGACTTTTTTTTGTTGTTCAGTATTGTGTGTGTATGTATGTTTGTGGGAGCAGAAATGAGCATGCATGGCTGTACTGTCCATCTGGAGACAGGGACTGGCATGCAGTGTCTTCCTTAGTCCATATTGGCGTGTGTGGGGCGGTGGTCTCACTATAACCTGGAGCTCAGGACTTGACCAGGCTGGCTGACCAGCAACCCCCAAGGATCCGCCTTTCTCGGCCTCTGCTTCTCAACCCCTGTGGGGACAAGTTGCTGCACCCAGTTTTCTGTGTTTTACTTCTTTTCTTTGAAGGGTACTGAGGGTTGAACTCAGGTCCTCATAAGCAGTTTACCAACTGAGCGATCTTCCCAGCTCCAGATATTGTTCAGTTATTTTATAACACGTCTGTGCCTGTGCTAAGTTTTGCTGCTCACGTATGGAGTGCTATGAAGCTCCCTCTGAACAGCCTTTAATTCCTAGGCAGCGTGTCCTGAGGACGTGACAACCCTCACTGGAAATAACTGAATTCCCTTTCCTTCTAGATTCTTCTTTAGAACTCTTCCTTCTTATCCACAATTTGGATAGTCAGATGTTGAGAGGAGACAATAGCCAGCAAATTCTGGGCCAGCTGTCATCTTTGCGTAACGTGTACCTTATAGCATCCATCGATCACCTTCACGCTCCTCTCAGTAAGTTACGGGTAACTCGTTCTTCCTCGAGAGATTAGGCTTATAAAATTTTCTCACTGTTTTTTAGTAAATTTTCAGCTTGTTGAAAGGTGGTCTCGAGTATTTAGAGCTAGAGACGTGTGTTTGCTGCTGAAATTCCATAAGGAAAGGCAGACCCACACTCTTTCTGGTATTACAATGTTGTTAGCTCGGTTTGGATTTTTGTTTGTTTGGGATTTTTGTTTGTTTGTTTTTGTTTTTCGAGACAGGTTTTCTCACTTTGTAGACATGGATGACCTCAAAGTCACCGAGCTCCGCCTGCCTCTGCTTCCCGAGTGTTGGGGTTAAAGGCATGCACCATGGCACCCGCCTGCCTTACTGAGGTTTTAAAAGAACTCTTGATGGTGCTGAGATACTCCATTTGTCTCTCATGGGCAAATAAAGATTCAGTGTTAGCTAAGTAGGGCACCTCGTAGTTACCACCTCACACTTGGGAGGCTGAGGCAGGAGGATTGTGGATTTGATATCAGCCTGGACTATTAATGAGATTTTATCTCAAAAAATAAACAAAAAGATTAAGATATTGATTGGCAGTAGGGGCAGATTTTGAGTTACAGATTGATATAAAAATGGACAGAAATGAAATATTTCATGACTTTTATTTAATGCAGTACTGAGGTATAGCCAGAGCCTTGTACACTTTAGCCAACCCTTGGCTGCATTCCCAGCCTGGGGTGCTTTTCCTTTAAATGCTTCTTCCCTCTTTGCTGTCATGAGATCTCGCGGGGCATGATGGCGTGACAGTAATTTGTAACTCTTTGCTTTGGTCATCTTCCGTAGTGTGGGATCATGCAAAGCAGAGTCTTTATAATTGGCTTTGGTATGAAACCACTACATATCATCCTTATACTGAAGAAACATCCTATGAGAATTCCCTTCTGGTGAAACAGTCTGGATCTCTACCCCTGAGTTCTCTGATTCATGTCTTACGAAGCCTCACCCCCAATGCACGGTAAGAATGAAAGCTATGAATATAATTATATATAAAGATACATACCCACCTATACATAGTTATATATAAAGTTAAATATATAGATACATACCCATCTATACACAGTTATATATAAAGATACATACCCATCTATACACAGTTATGTATAAAGATACATACCCACCTATACATAGTTATATATAAAAAGATAC